CCGTACAGAAACCTACTACTATAGAATTTCCCTACATATCGACACACATGTGAAAGGACTCTAAATGGAGTGACCAAATAATAGGTCACCAACTAAACATGCCACCAAGTAAAACTGAGGTGCCAGGAATGGGTTACGTCTTGTTGAGTCATTGGCAAAAGGGGGTCCTATGAAAACCGCCAAACAATCCAGGCTATAGCCTAGGCTACTGGTTGCTCTCCACGACCAGATGGTAAGGTTGTGCTGAAGAGAATGCTTTCTTATGTTACTGAGCACAGAGAAGTCAAGCTGTGGCCTACCTAGCAGCTTCACTCCTGCTGACTAGCATTCATGGAGCTGGAGGATAATCTGCTTGCTGCCGGAGGGAAAAGGTAATCACCAATATCACCCAGCTGCAAACCCTGCAAATTCTGATAACAGTGACTACTTGCAAGATATACTGATACAATAATGGCACAAATATGGGATAATCAGCCACTTTTTGATTGGATTTAATGTCTACTCCATGAGAGAGAACCCATGCCTAACACTGCTGAGGTGGTCAAGAACCTAAGATTAGACAGGTCACGGGCTTGGGGAAAACATAATATCATTTTGCTAAAAGAACACAGCATAATGACTCCTAATGATGACATATTTCCATAACCATACATCAGTGCCCCACTCAGCCCACATCAAGAATAGTTTATTCCTCTTCTGGCCTGTAGACATACACACAGACAGAATATTGTATACATAATAAATATATATTAAAAAAAGTTAAAAGAATAGTTTATTGCCGGGCGGTGGTAGCACACGCCTTTAATCCCAGCACTCAGGAGGCAGAGGCAGGCGGATCTCTGTGAGTTCGAGGCCAGCCTGGTCTACAAGAGCTAGTGCCAGGACAGGCTCCAAAACCACAGAGAAACCCTGTCTCGAAAAACAAAACAAACAAACAAAAAAGAATAGTTTCTTCTTACAGTAAAAGGGGATTAACAAAGAGATTCATAACTGGGCAACGTGCAAAGAATGAGTTTGGAGCACTCAGACCTAAATGGGAGCACTCAGTCCTAAATAGGACATCGTTATCCCATCAAGATCCAGGGAACTATGTGGATGAGGAAGCAAAAAGATTGTAAGAGCCAGGGATGAGGGATGACTACAAGGAAATAGCACCTTCCCGATACAACAGGATTGATACACAGAAGAGAACTCAGAGACTGAGTCAGCACACATAGGACCTGCACAGCTTCCAGCCATCTGAGGTCAGAACACTAAGAGGGAGAAGTGGACATGGGGTCCTACTCCTAACCAAGAAGCCACCTGCAATTGATACCCACTGGCAAGCAGAAAATCAATTTTCTCCAACCGAGTCTCACTGTTATCGACCACACTCCAGGGTAGGCCCCATGCCCAAAAGCAGTTGACAAACACAAAACTAACTCACTGGTATTTTCGTGGACTTTTTGTTTCCTTTTGCTTTGTTTGGGCAATGGTCTTTTGCTTGCTTGTTTTGATTTTTGAGGACTTTTTTGAAAGATAGGAGAAAAACAACACAAAGCCAGGTGGGTAGGGAGACTGGAGGATCTGGGAAGAATTTGGGGAGGGGAAAATACAACCAAAATGTGTGGTATGAAAAAAACCAGTAAAATAATAATAAAGTCAGATTCTCCTTTATTATAGATGTGACAGGCCTGGAACTAACTATGTAGACCAGCTAGCCTCCATCATACAGATCCAGTTGCCTCCACTTCCTGAATGCTGGGGTGAAGGGTGATCCCTAGCCCTTTGTTTCTGTCTCTTTAAATTGTAGAAAGAAAAATCAAATCCTATCTTTGAATTTTGTGTGTGTGTGTGTGTGGTGGGGGAAGGAGGCTGGTGACCTGTGCTGACGATAAGACCCAGGACTTCATACATGTTAGACAAATGCTCTATTACTGCCGTACACTCCTGGTTTCACCTTAACTAGTTCTAGGGGTACACGTGAGTAGCGTTAAATATGGCCACACCATTATAAAGTAAGGACTGTAGGATACCACAGACAACAGGTGTGTGGAGATGCTGAAGAACTGCAGGTGGGACTAATGATTTGGGGAGATTTAGAAGGCCATGGTAGGAGGAGGTAGGAGCTGAGATCTAGAAGGGATTTTAAGGTTAAAAATGTGGAGGGCAGAAGTTGTGCTGTGGCCGGGAAGGACGTGACGGGACTTAATGACTACCAAGTGGAGCCCGAGGGCAAAGAAAAGCCCTCGGAGTACAATATTCAATGTGTTTGCCAGGCATGACCAGTCACAGATTGGGGAGTTCAAGAGCTTTTAACATGACTGATCGGAACAAAGATGGCCTCATTAACAGAGGAGGGTTGCGTGATACACTTGCTTGCTGAAAGAAAAGTCCAGCTGAGGAGCATCTCGAGGCCGTGATTAGTGAGGCTTCAGGTCCCGTCAGCTTCTCACAATGTCTGCTGAGAAGTTAAATGGTACAGCTTATGAAGCCTGTGTCAATTCAGTCGTGCTACTTGATGCATTTACAGGAGAGGGGGTGGATGGGCTGTGGGGAAAGGCACCCATTGACAAAACAGGGAATTACAGTGAATCATACACCTCCTTAAAGACAACAACAGCAGAAAAGAACTTCACATCAGCCAGATGCCAGAATATGATTCTTGGGAACCGGAGGTGGGGGGATCCTTTAAGCCAGGGAGAAGCCTAAGCTACATATAGACTTCATCTCAAACGAACAATGAAATAGTTCGATCCCCTGTCACTGCTTTGGGTATTTCCATTGAGCGCACGTGTATAAACACACATACCCACAGACACACACTCACACATACTTCCTTTATGGTGCTGGGGAACGAGCCCAGGGACTTGTTCATGCCAGATATACACCGCCAGTGAACACCTCCAGTCCCAGATCTTCAGAGATAGACCTCATTATGTAGCCCAGGCTGCCTTCAAAGAATCTTGGCTTTCTGAATTCTGGGTTCCCAGGGGTGTGCCATCACCTCTGGCTCCAGGGTTTCCTTTAAAGTTATAGTGTGCCCTTAGCTATACAGCTTTTGTCTTTCTGGTATTTAGTCTTGGACATCTGGGTAAATGTTATCTTTATGATCAGATTGGAAATGGGACATTTTTGTCATTTCCCAAATATAGGGTAACATGACAGTAGCCTCCTCTCAAATCAGAGGCATTTTTTTTTTTTTTTTTTTTTTTTTTTTTTGAGATAGGGTTTCTCTGTATAACAGACCTGGCAGTCCTGGAACTCACTTTGTAGACCAGGCTGACCTTGAACTCACTTGAGACCTGCTTGTCTCCTCCTGGGAATAAAGGTGTGTGCCTTCACCACCTGGCTGAATTATCTGTGGGCGGTGGTGGAGTCAATATATTTTGAAGGAAACAAAAAAAAAAGATTCAACAACTTGGGAGGCTGGTCAACAGGGAGTTGATTTCCGGCTTGGTCACTGTTTTTGTTTGTTTTTGGCTTTGGCCAGTTCTCAGGACTAAACTTTTTTTTTTTTTTTAGTTTTTCGAGACAGGGTTTCTCTGTAGCTTTGGAGCCTGTCCTGGCACTAGCTCTTGTAGACCAGGCTGGCCTCAAACTCACAGAGATCTGCCTGCCTCTGCCTCCCGAGTGCTGGGATTAAAGGCGTGCGCCACCAACGTCCAGCTAGGACTAAACTCTTGAGACAGCTGGTGACATTTCACCAGGTTGTGCTTTGCTAAATTGGAATAGTTAAACTGGATGTGGTAGAGCATGCAAGTCAACACTCAGGAGGCTGAGGCCTGAGGACCTTGAGTTCAAGGTCAGCCCAAACTACACAGCAAGACTCTTGTCTCGAAAAATAAAACAAACAAATAAATAAATAAAAAGAAAAATAAAACAAAAAAACATAAAAATGGGGAAGGGGATTCTACGTTAAGAAAAGTGGTGGTCATTTAGGTACAAGGATTAAATTCCACTGTGCCTTTTTAAAGCACTGGGGATGGAATCCAGGGCCTCAGATGGTCCTGAGGTTTTACCATTAATCCACTCTAATCCCATATTTCACGAAAAAACAAAAACTCCCCCATCCCCTGAGGGAGGGCTTGCGAGATGGCCCAGCTGGTAAAGGCACCTGCAGAGGTCTGACCCTGAGTTCAGCCTGACCACTTGAGTTCCACCTCTATACCCACACTGTGGGAGAATAGAACCAACTTCTGAGAGTCGTTTTCTGACAGACTGGAGAAGTAGATGCATAACACACATAGGCACACGAAAGCAATAAAAATATGATTACAAATGTGTAGGAGATATATAGTAAAGTATACAAACTGGGCAGGTGCTGGTATCAGAAATGCCTTTGCTTGCGTCGATGGGTAAGACATATACAGAAAGTATATATACTCCTCCTAGTCCCTCGGCCCAGTCTGTCTTGCTAGGTAGTTGAGGCTGATCTAGAACTCAACATACACTCCAGGCTGTCCTCCAACTTGCTATCCTCCTGCCTCCAGAGCTCTGGGATTGCAGGCATGCGTGACCAGCCCTGGATAAGCCTCTATCTTCATGCATGTTCACAGAACAACCATACCCGAGACTAATCAGAAGCCAACATCAACACGCAGGATGTGAGCAGCATGCCCGGGGTTATGCCTATTTAATTATACTAACGCTTTGAAGTCGATCATACCATTATTCCCATTTTACACATGAGGGATCGGAAGGCCAGAGAGGTCGGAAGGCTAAGTACTGTTCAAGCCACCACCTGAACGTGGATGTGTTGTCTCCGATTCAAAGCCTGTGCTCCGGGGAAGAAACACACTCTCAGGTTAGAACACGAGACGGCTCACTGGGCACCCTCAGGGCGACGGAAACCACAGGAAACCTGACGTGGGCGCCAGTGGGGTCACGCGCGCGCCGGTCCACGGTGCAGCCTCCCAGCCAGCCCGCCACCCGCCGCGCGGCCTCCCGACACACGAGGGCGCTGTCGCAGCACGGCGGGCGCGAGCCGCCGGGCAGTGTCGCGAGATTGGGGAAAGCCGGAAGGGCGACAGAGCCAGGGTCACGTAGCCGGCGCTTCCCCCGCCCCGCTCGCGTAAGTTCTCGCGCGAGTTCTACTTCCGCCCTTTTGGCTCCCTGAGCAGCACCATGGCGGTCGGCAAGAACAAGCGGCTGACGAAAGGCGGCAAGAAGGGAGCCAAGAAGAAAGTGTAAGTGGCGGATTCTGCGGACGCCCGGTGCGCGGGACCCGCGGGAGTCGGCGGGCAGCTTCTAGGCTGCAGCGTGGGGCGGATGGTGAGGATGCGGGGCGGATTCGCCGGCCGGTGCGCTCCGGGCGGCCGCCTCTCCCCGACCCGGCCGGGTGCCGAGCGCCGCGTGCGAGCCGCGTGCGAGCCGGGCTTCCGTCGCGAGTGGCGGCTTTGGGGTTGCGTGACGGCCGCGTCACTTTTTGTACCTCTCCCGCATCTTGAAGTTCGTCGGTCACTGTGGTTGTCCGCTCGGGACCCCACGTCACTCCCGTGCTGGGGCCTCGTGGACCCCGGGAGCTCCCGACACTTGCAGACCCCTTCGTCCTGTTAAGAACTAGTTCTTGTCCCAGACCTTCGGGTTCTGGGATGCGTGTGGGGCTGCGTGTGTGTGGGAGCAGTGGAGAAGGCACGGGGTCCAACTTCCCGGTTCGTCCCGGTTGACAGACGCTCACGCCACGGCGAGCCAGTTTGAAGTTTTGGGACATTTATGTCAGCGGAAGTATTAAGGAGAAGGAAGGTTTAAAAGTTGGTAGTAGTAGTGATAAATATTTAGCAAGAAGCTCAGCCTGTTTTCCGCAAACCCAGGGTTGATCCATTTTCGAAGAAAGATTGGTATGATGTGAAAGCCCCGGCCATGTTCAATATTAGAAACATTGGAAAGACATTAGTCACGAGGACTCAAGGAACCAGTGAGTACTGTATGCTTTTTTTTTGTTGTTGTGGGTATTAACAGACGTCTGGGTGTGTTTGTGATGGGGGACTTGATGGGTAAATCAGCCCAGGGGTTTCTGGCCTGGCGTTTGGGGTGCTTGTTTTTCATACATATGTAGCAGGAAGAATTAACCAAGAAAATGTTTGGCTGAGTATTGCCAGTAAGTCATCCGTGCCTAGGTGGATTTTGTAACAAGTTAACAGGATATTGGGTTCTTTTGTAGAAATTGCATCCGATGGCCTCAAGGGTCGCGTGTTTGAAGTGAGCCTTGCTGATCTCCAAAACGATGAAGTTGCATTTAGAAAATTCAAGCTAATCACTGAGGATGTTCAGGGCAAAAACTGTCTGACTAACTTCCACGGCATGGATCTTACCCGGGACAAAATGTGTTCCATGGTCAAAAAGTGGCAGGTGAGAAATCCGCCTCCCCCAACTGCATTTGAGCATGTATGTAGTGCTGTGGTGTGCACGTGCAGGGGTGTCATGGTGTGGTGATTTGGACATCAGACCTTTGCTTTCTTGGTATTAAGCACCAGCCTGAAGTTGGGTCCTCCTGAGTTTGAATGTCAGCCATGGCATTTTTTTTTTTTCACATAAAGAATGAACAAGTTTTTTTCCCCACTGTCATTTATATATTGTTGAGCTAGCTACTAGAGATAAAACTGCAAGGAGAGCCTGATCAAATGTTGTCTTTTACCCACTTACCTGAATTCTACCTTCTGAACTCCCTTTCCCCCATGAATGATGAAAATTTTTAAATTGTGGTCAAGCTGCTTTTTATTCTTGGGTGTTAGAGGTAGCACCCACTACTTTCCACATAGGCAGTTACTCTTTATATTGAGCTACAGCCCCTGGCCAAGTATTTACTGGTTAAAGGGCACATAGGCAGAAGTAGTTTAGAGACTGTTTTAGGGCTGCCCATCTTCAGAGTTTGTAGTGGAAAGGTGACTATTCCATTGTCTCTGGCCGTGGAGGATGACGGTGGCAGAACTTGTCTGCATTTATTTTGTCCTTGGAAAGTAACAAGCTTAGCAGCTTGGCTTCTTTATTTGTAACATCAGCTCATTGAGTTGTGAAGATGAAATAGCTGGTGTAGGTGTTTGCGGAAATCAGTAACCCATATCATTTTAGGAAATACTAAGATATATACAGGTAACAGTATTGGCATATGTATATGGGAATGAATGATGACAAAATGTTTCGGTCCCAAATGAATTGTACTGATTTAACCGTTACATGTATTTCTGACATTCCCATACAGATTATGCAATTCTGGAAATAAAAGGTTGTTTAGTAGATATTGATACATTCTTTTTGTGGTGGAAGTTTTTTTGTTTTATTTTTTTAGACAGGGGCTAACTATGCTGCCTAGTCTGACCTCGAATTCACAGAGATCTACCTGCTTCTGCCTCTGGAGTGCTGGAGTTGAAGGCGTGTGCCACCACACATGGCAGATAGTGGGTAGGTTTTAAAACAGGATAGGCTTCAAAGCTACAGAGAAACACTGTCTCAAAAAGCCAAAAAAAAAAAAGATGGAAATAGGGTCCAATTAGCTGTCAGGTTAGGTATTTAAATCCTTTAGTTTGAAATAAAAGGGATTAAAAATGCTGTTACAGCAGAACTTTCCCCCTTTTTTTCCTTTGGAGAAAGGATCCCTAACCTGTTCTGGTAGACCTAGGCCTGCTGTGTAGACCTAGCTGGCCTTGAAGTTGTGGATTGCAGCTGTGTGTCAATGTATCTGGCCTATTTTGTCAATTGGTGGGTTTTTGGTTTCTTTAAATTGACACAGGGACTTAAACTATCCTTGACTGACATGGAACTTAGCTTTGTAGACTGCAATGGATTCAAACTCTTATTAGAGATCCAACCTCTCTTGCCTCCTGCTTGGTGTGCTAGGATTAAAGCACACACACAACCTACTTTTTTGCTTAAAGATGAAAGCAAATTCATATCTCATCTGGTGTATGCTGTCTTAGAATTTAACTTCCAAAGCTCTTCTGTTTGCGGGGGTTTTATGTTAGTACGTGAAGAATTGGTTGAGACCCTAAAACAACTGCTGTACAGGCTGATGGAGGTGGTGCACATGGGCGGGGAGGCTAGCCAAAGCTAGTGAGACCCCGTCTCAGAAGAATCCTTTTCTCCCCAGACCATGATTGAAGCTCACGTTGACGTCAAGACAACCGATGGTTATTTGCTCCGACTCTTCTGTGTTGGTTTCACTAAAAAACGCAACAACCAGATCCGCAAGACCTCATATGCACAGCACCAGCAGGTCCGCCAGATCCGGAAGAAGATGATGGAGATCATGACCCGAGAGGTGCAGACAAATGACTTGAAGGAAGTGGTTAATAAACTGTAAGTGGGTTTTTGTTTTCTCCTGTTGAATTATCCTTCGGTAAGAGAAGGCTGTAAGAGAAGGCGTATGTGGGCAAGCTGGAGATATTTTTCCAGTTGACGCTCCAACAGTGGATAGTGAAACTTAGACAGTTACTTTGATACACAAGAGCTTTCCATGATACTGTATGGGAATACATGATGAGAAGATGTTTCGGTCCCAGTTGATGTACACTGATAACTTAACATTTTCCTGATGTTCCCATGCAGAATACAAATGGCTAAGGATATTGTGCAAAAGACTTGGGTGCTAATTTTGTTGTTAGATATTATAACCATCTTTAATTAGGATGCCTGTGGTTATACATTACTATCTAAGGTTTTTTTTTTTCAGTGTAGTTATGTGAAAAACAGACTTTGGTGGGTTTCTTGTTTGTTTTTTTATTTAAAGTTTGCTGGTCTTGCAGGATTCCAGACAGCATTGGGAAAGACATAGAAAAGGCTTGCCAGTCCATTTATCCTCTTCATGATGTCTTCGTTAGAAAAGTAAAGATGCTGAAGAAACCCAAGTTTGAATGTAAGTAAGAAATCAGGATTCATGAGAAAAAAATTTCTGGGACCAAATACATGACTTTTTTAATGACTGGTATTTTATAAATTGATTATAATTTGATTACATGTATGTATAGTTTAGGCACCACCCTGTATGTACTTGGTGACTTTGTTCTGAAGAGGGCTTCAGTTTACCTGGGACTGAAGTTAACAGATGATTGCAAACTACCTGTGGGTGCCGGGAACGGAATGAACCCAGTTCCTCTAGAACAAGTGCTCTTAACCACTGAGCCCCTCTTCAGCTCTTTACATGTCAATATTACTCATTTTTAAATTGGATTTATTTTTGAGATAGGGTTTCAGTGTGTATATAGCCCTATCTGTTCTGGAACTCAGCTCCATCTGCCTGCTGCCTGCCTTTGCATCCTGAGTGCTGGGATTAAAGGCGTGCAAGACCACAGGTGGCGTTGTGTAAAATAATTTTTTTTGTAATTTTTTTTAATTTTGAGAAAGGGCTTTTCTGCAGCTTTGGAGCTCGTCCTGGAACTAACTCTTGTAGACCAGGCTGGCCTCAAATTATCAGATCTGCCTGCCTCTGCCTCCCTGGGATCAAATGCTTGAGCCACCAACTGTCCGGCTCAACATATAAATTTTTAAGGGCAAGACTTTTCTGTTTCCTTGTGTGTATGTAGTATGAAGTTATACTTATTTATAACAAGGTTTTTTTTTTTCTTTTAGTGGGAAAACTCATGGAGCTCCATGGTGAAGGTGGTAGTTCTGGAAAGACTACTGGTGACGAGACAGGTGCTAAGGTTGAACGAGCTGATGGATATGAACCACCAGTCCAGGAATCTGTGTGAAATACAGATTTTTAATAGTGACAAATAAACTCTTATTTGTGATGATGGTTTGCTTCTGAACACTGTTTTAAAATATGACAGGTTGGAGAATTTAAAGACTTGTGTAGCTAGGCTTTTGTAGAATGGCACTCTTATTCCTTAGCATCTGCTGGGTCATGACTTGACAGAGGACATGTCAGGACAAGATAGAGGCTGCCTTAGTTCTTCAGCCATTTGGCCTGCTTTTGGGTCCTGTCCTCAAATTTTTGGTCACTTTTTATTTCTAGTAAAGTTCTCATGCAGTGCTTATGGTGTGGAGACTACAGTTGGCGAGCTGAATACAGGAAATTACTTTGTAGAGTTTTGATGCCTGGGCAGCATCCAGATCAGATAGCAGGTCTTAAACTTGCTAGGTTAGTGTTCTCCAGTCCTGTCTGGCCTTGGCCTGGAACTCAGAGATTTGTCTTTCGAGTGCTGAGATAGTCTGGCCAATTTTTAATGCTGTATTTAGGTTCTACAATGCCATTCCAGAAAGTTTAAGTTCATGGAAGTCCCTAGATTTTCTGAAGACAACTCAGTTTTCTTGTTTTCATTAAGCATGTTCCTCCCCCAATTTTAGCCTATGCCTTTACAAGGTAAAGTATTAGGAAGTGTACCTTCTAGGCATTTTATATTTGACATCCTAAAGTGGTGTTTTGCTTGCAGAACAGGGATCTTGGACATGGTAGGTAGCAAACAATACTATTACAAGTATTTTTCCAGCCCTAAAGTGTTAGTTGAGACAGGGTCTTGGTATATGTAGCTCAAGCAAGCTTACTGGTTTACATCTTGGAGCAGGGACTTGGATAACACTCTTCAAAGGGCTTATTTGAAAAGGCTCAAAGAGGAGTTAGGCCAGGAGCTCAAGAGGTGGCTCAGCCATTAAGAGCTGAGGACCCACATGGTGGCCGAACTGTCAAATGCAAGTTAAGGGGAACACACTTTTTTCTGTACCTCTGGGCACCAGGTATGAGTGGTGCCACATACATTAGAACAAAACATGTAAAATGGCTTGGCCTATTTAAGCCTACCTATAGGCCACTCTGGAAGTCTGTTATATAACATGCTTCTGTGGGGTTGATGGGAACCTGTATTTCTAGGACTTGGAATGACTTGCCTTAGTCTGTCCTAGAAAGACAAAAATTTGTAATGAAGATAGCAAACAAACCAAGAACAACTTTAACTGTAGACTAACTTTAAAGGGGTAAGTCCTAAGGAGGCTATCATCAAGACTTATGCCTGCTCCCAAGGGAAAGACAAACAGAAAAGACAAGTAATAAAAGACAGACTACCATAACTAAAATTGCACACCAAATATTTCCCAAACAGCACGCCCAGGGTATAACAAGAGCATTAACACTACGGTATTTTCTTTGAACAATGATTATTTTAGTGATACCTTTTGGCCTTAATTTGGCTCCAATGCATATCTATATTTTTGACCAGATAGTTGACTAGAAGGGATTACCTTGTATAGTATAGGATATTTAGCGGGGTCACTGGTCTCTACCCATTAGATAGTAACCCTAGTTTGAAGAGTCTTGCCTATGGTAAACTTAATGAGATATCAGTGTGGATGTGCCTCTAGCCTCTTGGTTAGATTAAATGTATCCTTCAAAATAGCTTAGAAAGTCAATGTTGGCCATAATCTATTGACTGGCTGCTCTTGGCTTGGACCATGCCATGTATTTACATCCTCTGAATAATTCTGAGGGATGAGATAATGTCTCCCTCAGGAAAAGCAGGCTTGCTTCTACATGCTGCCATGGTGAAAAAGGTCCTCTGCCATGACCATTACTTTATGGCCTTCAGGATTTAGGGGCTCAGGAAAAAAGGAACATGACGTCCAGGCAATGCTTGGAGTGGTGAAGTCCTTGGTTTCTGCTGGAGTAGTCTCATGTCTTCTGCCAGTAAATCCTCATGTGTAAAACACAAAGCACTCTTGTTCTGAAGCCAATCTGACATCTACAGTAAATATCTGGGGCTGGAGAGATGGCGCAGTGGTTAAGAGCCCTGGCTGCTTCCAGAGAACCCAGGGTCCACTGCTGGCACCCACATAGTGGCTCATAGTAACTGGTTCAGGAAATCCAATGTCCCTGGGGACCAGGTGTGCTTGTGTATACATAGAAGCAAAATACATATTTTTTTTTTAAATATTTATGTATACAATGTTCTGTCTGTGTGTATGTCTGCAGGCCAGAAGAGGGCACCAGACCTCATTACAGATGGTTGTGAGCCACCATGTGGTTGCTGGGAATTGAACTCAGGACCTTTGGAAGAGCAGGCAATGCTCTTAACCACTGAGCCATCTCTCCAGCCCCAAAATACATATTTTAAAATAAATATTTCAGCACGTATCTATTGGTCTGCTTTCTGTCATGGTGTTTTTGGTTCCTTGGCACCCCTGCCTTTGTGCTTGAGTGACAGCATTAGGTATATGTAGCAGAAGAGGCTACTTATTACGTGGTACTGAACTGGAGGGTTAAGTGCACTAAGCCCTGTCCCCTTTCTACCCTGTGTATCCCTGGCTGTTCTCAAACTCACTGAGATATGCTTGCCTCTGCCTCTTGAGTGTTGATATTAAGGGTGTGCGCTACCACTGCCCAGCACACAGAGAGGCCTTTGAGAAGAAATTCTCGGTTGGCCACTTGGGGGCCTGGAAAACAATGTGGTTGGCTGCATTAATCTTTGAGTCAGGACTCTTAATAAAGTACTTCTACATGATTGGAGAAATAAATATAAAATGATATACTTTGTTTTTGAGATGGTCTCGTAGAGCTTGCTGTAGATTACCTGTATCAAAGGATAACCTTGAACTCCTTACGTTCCTTTCCCTACCTATAAGTGCTAGGATTATAGGATTGCCACTGCATGACTTAATTATCTAGGTATGACATTTTACTTTATTACCCAGATTGGCTTCAGACTCAAATTTGAGTTTAAACCCCCTTGGGCTGAAGTGATCTTGCCATCCCAGTCCCGCAAGTAGCTGAGAACAGGTGTGTTTCATCATTCCTGCCTGCCTGCCTGCCTGCCTGCCTCCCTCCCTCCCTCTCTTCCTCCCTTCCATTTTGTTTTGTTTTTTTTTTTTTTTTGAGTTTACATAGTTTCTCCGTGTAACAGCCCAGGCTGTTCCGGAACTCCCTTTGTAGACCAGGCTGGCCTCTAATTTACCTGGCTCTGCTTCTTGAGTGCCAGGTTTAAAGACTTGCTTGCACCATCACAGCTTGCTTTTTGTTTTTCCACTTTTCTTCAAAAATAAAAATATAAAGAAAGAATAAGTGCAGGATGATTGTTGTCAGTCAGATGTGGCACACAGTGAAGTCTAGCACTCGAGAGGCTCAAGCAGGGTGATCATGAGTTAGTTCTGCCCCAGCTACATAGGGAAACAACACAAAGATTGCTGCTTAGTTATTGAAAAGTAGACAACCAGCAGGTAATATTTTCTAAATTAAGAGTTTGAAGCATTCTGAAAAGAATGCTGGTGAATTAATTCTTGTAGTAGATAAACAGTCTCTACTGTAAATACAATTAGAATTTGTTTAAAATCATCCAGAACGTCCCCCAGTCTCCTCTTTTATTACTTTTATCTAACATGTACTTTGAGATAGTTTCTTGTTACACAGCCTTACCAACGCTACACACCTGAAGTGTAAGTAATGATGGAGAAAGGAACTATCCACTAGTGAACAAACTCAGAACTTGAGTTTCTAGCTAACATTGGTGTACATAAGCGACTGACAAGACTTCTTCCCTACAAACTGTCCTAGATAGTCTCATATAGCCCAAGCTAGCTCTGAATTCACTAACTAACCAAATAACCTTGGGTTTCCGATCTGCCTGCCGCTACCTCCCAAGTGCTGGGATCACAGGCATGTAACAGCTCAGCTTGTACTTCTCTTTCTATCTGAAAGAGCATTTCAGGGGCCCGAAGAGATGGCTCAGTGGTTAAGAGTACTAGTTCTTGCAGAGGACCTAAGTTCAATTCCCAGCATTCATACTGCGGCTCAAAATCACTAGTATGTAACTCCAGTTCCAAGAGCCAACACTTTCTGAATTGCATGGGCACATGGTATATATATACACACACAGGTAAAACATTCATTCACATAAAATAAATCTTAAATTTCGGAGTTTTAATTTGTTCTGTGTATGTGGTTCTTCCCTGCCTCCTCTTGCTCCCTCCTGCATCAGTCTCCACAGTACCGGGATTACAGGAACACCTGTGGGACTCTTTTTTTTTTTTTTTTTTAATGAGTTGTATGAGCGTTTGTAACTTTTACAGGCTAAGAAAATATCAAAACACTTCAAAGAGTTATTTTTATTCATATCTTTGTATCTATGTGAGTGAAAGCCACTTGTATGCAGATGCCCCTGAAGTCCGGAAGAGGGTTTCAGGTCCTCTAGCTGAAGCTGCAGGCAGTTGTGAGCTGCCTGTCATGGGTGCTGTGTCCTCTGGAAGAGCAGGATGTGCTCTTAGCTGCTCAGCCACCTTTCCAGCCACATAGACTACTTTTACAGCTAAAGAGAAACACATCATTTCAGCACAATCAGTGGGAAAGCCTAGATTGGTCCTCAGTGAAGCTGGGCTGTAGTTAGGGCTCCACCAGCCCTTGAATCTCCTTATTGAGCTCTGAGGTAGAAAAAGACTTGTAATGAAAGGAGAGGCCCCTAGATGGCGGCAGTGTTCTGAGTGAGGCTCTGGATCTTGTGCCTTCCATGCAGCGAAGTAAAGAGTAAGGTAGAAAATGATTCCCCACTCGTTCTGAAAATCAGCTTATGAATTCATTCGATGACATTCAAAATGGCATTGAATCGTGAATCTTGTGGCCTATGTGCATCTGACATCAATTAAAAGAAGCCATTAATGTTCACACCAAAGTGAAAATAATCCCTTGTAATTGATCCATATATCCACTGCTGCTTTCTCAGGCTTATGTACTTAAATTGAAGAAACCGAATACAAACTGTGATTTTTTTTAAAGACATTGCCTTATAATCCTATAAGTATTTTTTTAATGTCACTT